CCCCAAAACCCCAAAACCCCAAAACCCCAAAACCCCATGGAGTATTTAATAAATTTTAGCAATAGTTCTTATAATATTTTAGGTAAATTTATAGATAGAGTCTTACTTTCCTTGACAATTTTGCTTCTGCAATGTTTCTCTTTTGTATTCCATTTTAGCTCCTTCAGACTGATCTAATAACACGATATAGATCAAAATCCTAGAGAAATTCCAATGGAACAGCCTGAAAATAGCAGAGATTCTAGCAGAAGGCGCTTATGGATGTACTCGCGCTTTCCTGATAATATATTCCAAGGTAAATAATGCTTTGCAACATGACTCAGAGGCTCCTTAATTTCCTACAAAGGTGTAGTTGGCACATGCTAAAAATTCGAGAGCTTAAAACTTAGTTTTTGAGCAAAAATAGGATTTTTCCTGCTGAAGCTCCGTTCAAAAGGATTTTTAGCGTTGAAAATTTAAGCTCTATTCATAAATTTAGTGGATTGAATGGGGATTTTTAGAGTAAATATTGTGAGTCCAGACTCACTCAAGAAACCGCAAAGCTAGCTTAATATCGAATGATTCTTGGAATTATAAACACATTTCCTAGCAATTCCCGTGAAAATATTATTTTGCATGTTTTAAAAATTTCAAAAATGGGTTTTCCTCCAAATTTATAAAATTTCACTTCCAATATTTTAGATTCAAGCAGTTCGGAGGATGAATTACTCATTCACGGAGAGTAAGCGGTGAAAATCTTATATTTAGGAGAATAAGAGGCGACTCTCCTATTGAGCTAACTAGAGCTCAGATCCAAAACCTTGACTCTATTTTTCAGAGACCTTCGAGATTGTTCAGGTACATAATTTCTAACAATAGATCTGAGTGTCCCTTGATGAAGAAAATTAGAAAATTAAGTGTGAAAATTACCAGAGAGCATTCTGAAGACATTCTTCGATTTGAAAAATGTCAAAATTTGCCAATCAGGGATAAATTCCTAGTTTACATGCTTGAACTGGGAAAGAGTTCCTCCACAAATAACGCTGATCTCATTTGATTCTTGAAAATTATGAAATCCCTCCCTAACAGAGTGAAGATTATGAAGGCTATCAAGAGGTTAAGTCCTATTTCAAGACTTTCTGATAACATTATTCTGATATGCCTTCGATTACTTGAATATAAATGAGAGGCTCAGGATTCTGCCATTGATAAGGTAAGACAATCATATAAAATCTAGGAAAACTCCCTAAAGCAGCTGCCGTACCTCCTTGAGAATTACAAGAAAATAGACTCAGATAGATATAAGAAGATGTATCGCAACATGAAGAGACTTTACCTCCCAGAAGATTATGGAATCTCATCTACCTTGGAAGAGAAAGTAGATGAGCTTAAGCAGAAGCTTAAAGGGCTTAAAGAGACTCCTGAATGCATTACTAGAGAGAAATTTTATAGTTAACCTTATAGCATAACCAATAATGTAAAGAAGAAGTGGGGTTTTGGGGTTTTGGGGTTTTGGGGTTTTGGGG